CTGCTGGACTTACATTTATTAGCTTTTATCTTGGTGCCGCCAATGTGGACATTTAAGTTTATTTACTCTGCTGTATTAACAGTAGAGACTTTAGCAGGACAGCAAAAGGGATGCCACGTACAACAGTGATCCCAACAAAAGAACGAGTGGGGACCCGCTGGCATACAATTATACTGAACTACCAAGAGAATATGAAAGAATTTGGTTTCACTAAATCCTTCCTTTCCTTTCATGTATGTGTTTAATTGAAGGATGTTAAGTGCTGGCAAAATCCTGGCCAGATGTAAGCCTGGCCAGGTTAGTCTCCTTGTTTAGAAGACTGCCACAACTTCCTTAGCCAGATGCCATTTATATGGAGAAATGTCTACTGTTAAGAAAACCCAAACATAAAATAGATCAATGGGTGAGTACAAAAGGATTTACTGGCAGTCTCCCTTAAACAGAGATTTCATATTTAAAATGGTGTTTGGCTTATAATTTTCTTCTGAAATACATTTAACGCATAATGCGAAATAGAATAGTAGTTCCTAAAAGTGAGTTGTTTAAAAGCTGTTGCACAAAGAATCCTAGTATCCTGTATTAAAGGAACTCCACACAAATTCCAAACTCTAGACAATGAATGAGTTAGCCATTTCTGCCCAGTATCAAGAAGGTACAATTTAATATGTAGGATAATAATAAAATTTTAATATAGATAGGTTGTAAAAAAAAATTTGTCTGAATTTCTACTCTTTGGAATGGCTACAAAGTTAATTTCATGGCTTTAACTTTAGTAAGAAACAATTAGACATTCTAAAGTCATTATAGTTATGAGAAAACATAACAAATACTGTAAATACTTAAAGATCAAAGACGACCTAATTCACTAGCAAAACTTTCAAAATATTTCCTAGTAGACCAATATTTAACCATTCATTCTCTCAAAAGAACAATCCAGTCAGTGGCTGAGACTATATATAGCAGGTCTGCCAGAGATGGCTCATGGGCCAAGGCTGTCAGCATGATCCTCCTCTCTGATGCTTTAGAACAGATTTGGTATAGTCAAGAGCATCCCCCTTCACAAGGCCACTCCTCTCAGTCCACCAAAACCACAAGGGTCAAGAGCACGGCAATTATTCTTTCAAACAGTTACCAACCCTTCTGCAGTGAGCCTAGGAAACTGAGTATGGTGTCGTGAAACCGGGGTTTTAGTTTCAACTCTACCAGTGATCTTTCTTTGTAAGAAATTTAGCATTTCTGCAGAACGTTTGTAAAAAGGAGGTTGCTCGGCAGCAGTAATTAGCAGCGGCCAAAAGGATTCCAACTCCCTAGTATTCTAGGGACTATTGTTAGACAATAAGAATTCTTTGCAAAGTTGTAATCAAAAAACTCACATGCAAAATTCTGTTGTGACAGTTCCTTAATGTGTGCACTCTCGATGACACAATACGAACCAATGATGGATTTACAATCAGAGGTTTTTCACAAGAAATAGTTACTGACCAGAAAATGGCAAAGATCTCTGAGTACACATAGTAGTCTACAGCAATGGTCCATGGAAGAAGCATCTGTCTATACACACAGAATACAATACACTTGGGCTTCCCCTAGCTCCTTGCACCTTTAGCTCTACCACTCCACACTTGATTTTCTGAGTTTACTGACATTTCCCTGTCAACATTCACCTATGTGAATACGTGAGTTACTCAATCTTTCGAGCCTTTACTAAGTATTAATGTACCTAGAGACTGACTACTCCAAATGTGTATCTCAAGCTCAGACTCTCCTGAGCCACTACCTCATTACACTAACCATGTACTCTGTTCCGGTAACACCCATGCCCAAAACTAAAGTTTGCATTGGCCTCAATCTAAATCTTTTCCCTTTCCAAACTTTATCTTTGTAACTAGCATCACTATTCACACCACTGCTGAAGGCAAAACCTTGAATGGCTCTCTCCCCCTCCCTGACACCTTATTAGCAATCCAGAGGTAAATATCGTCAATTCTACTTCTGCATTACACCTCAAATCCATCCACTTTTCTCCACCTTCAGCAGCACCATTTTTGTTCAATCCACCATCTTGACATGCCTGTAAGTCTCCTGTTTTCTTCTTATCTACTTTTGCTGCCTCACAATCAATTCACCATGTAACAGCCAGAGCAATCTTTTTAAACATAAAGTAGACCATGTCACTCCTTTGACTTAAAACCTTTTAATGACTCTTGACCGCACTATGAATAAAAGCCATTTCCCTATTATACCCCTATACAGTTTGGTCCCTCCCTGCTGCCTCTTTAATCTTACCATGGGCTACCCTCCTCCTTGCTGACCCCATTCCAGCCAGGCTGGCCTTCTTACAGTTAGCCAAGCATCCCCAGGACCACTCTTTCTTCCCTAGGACCTTTCCCCGTGCCTCAGCACTAGCATTCTTTATAGAGATGGTTTTTTCCCCACCCTTCAGGTCTCCATGAAATGGCATTTTCTAAGAAAGGATGACCACCCAAGCTAAAGTGAGATACCCATTTTAATTTTTTCACAACAATCTGTTATTTTTCTTCTTAACATTTTTTAATGATTTGTAACTATATATTTACTTGTTTATCTGGCATCGTTTTGGTACACAGAGGGCATTTGAACTTTTTAACTGAATAAATTAATGAGGCTAAGTGCCTTAGGAAAGGCTAATCACAAACATATCCTACTAGCTAATATAAGATGCAGTAAAAAAGATCTTACCTTCTCAACTTTTTTCTTTTTAACAGGGGGTTCAAATCTATCATTGACTCCAAAATATTGAGTAAGTTCCTTCCACTGGGTTTCATTTGAGGACTGTTCACTGCAAGAAGATACACAGTAAGTTTTATTTTACATAAAATGTACTCATTTTTATCTGTACTGTTTTTAATTAGTTACTACAATTATATTACCTGTTTTTAATTGGTTACTACAATTATACTACAACTACTAGTTCTTATGTTTGATCACTATCAGATAAGTAGTTCAACTATTTGGATAAGTTCTACATCTGTCTAGAATAAATAACTATTTTAAAATTCTACCCACCTATGAGATTCTTTTTCATTCTTCGATTTATCTGAAAAGAATTCATAAGGTGTCAATACCTGTGCATTTGGTTGTTACTGCAAAATTATGTTTTCAAAAAATTGCTGAACTCAGTCACAATTTAGCATTAACACTACTGACAAACTGAATTAAAACAAAACACCTTTTCTGGAGTGTTTTCTTTTTTTCCTTCTGAATCTTGAAGTTGAACTTTTCTGTTCAGAATGTTTTTTGTGCAAGTCTTGAAATTTCTATGTAAAAGAAAAAATATAAAAAGTCAATATACTTTGCAGAAAAACACACAATTAAAAAAAAATGTTAAGTAAAAAAAATTACATCCTACCCTGTATAAAGATATCTATTTAACAAAAGTAGTCAATTCTTGAGATACTCTAGTCTCTGACACTCTTACAACCTGAGTTTTGATATTCATTTATTTCTAAATAAGTTATTTGATAATTTAAGAGTGAAACTCAGTGACTCATATAGATAATAATAGGTCCATAGATAAAAGAGATAAAATAAACACAGAAATTCCTCATACATTCATGTTAGGGAAAATAGCTAATCCTGCATAGCAGTTTTTTTCCCTTCCTTTTTTTATGAAAACAAAACAAAAATAAAAGCAAGTGTCTAAGTGGCCACTGCCTCAAAGAATAGCAAAAGTATTCTGAGTCCATCTTCCCTACCTGTTAGGTCCCAAAAATATATACATCTTAACCAAGGCAGACACACACAAGGGACACACACACACAAGGGACACACACACACGCGCACGCACATAGGCTTTAACAAGCACATCAGAGAAAACCTACATTCCACATATTTAAGGGAATTCCAGAAGGGCACTCTTCATACGCATTTACATTTGCCTTTGTTTCAGTTTTTGATCCATCTGTTGGAAAATCTGAGACTTCTGTTTTTCTAATGGTTCCATCCTCTTTATCTTCCCGTAAGTTAAGTCCAGAGTCCTCTAATGTGGCTTCATCTTCAGAATTCGACTCAACATCACTTTCATTTAGGCCAGAAGGTAGCAGCCCACTCCACATCTTTTCTTCTTGAGGAAAAAGATGAATTTAGCGTTATAGAATAGCCATGGAAATGATTTTAACACACTGACTGCCACACTAGAAAAAAAAATTTTTCCTTGGGGCCATGATGTTTTATTATGAAAACAGAATAAAAACTTCAGAAACAAAACAATCAATCCTTTCTAATAAAAAATCCATTATTTTGTTGTTTTCTATGCATGAGTTATATGCAATTAAATTGTCAATATTAACTGTAAGAATAAGAACATCAATAAGGTTTTCAGGAACCACTGCAGTTATATATATGCTTCATGAGGCCCCTGGCTCAAAACTAGCATGAGTGAAATACAATTCACTAGGTAGTTAATGTGTTAAAACCAACAGAAGACACCCCAGGAACCTAATGATTATAATAACGGTTGGGATTATAACAGTCCACCTAAACTTTCTTCTTGAAATCTGAAATGGGAGGGGATGAACCCCCTATATTAAAATAACTAAAATCTTCACTGTGTAAAAACCAAAAACAGTTTAAAAGCAGTTTAAACAAGTTGGTTACAACACGCACCTACAAATAAAGCAGGACCTTGATTTTCTAATATATGGATAGTTTTATCTAAAAAAAATGAAATTCAGTAAAGCATTCATTGCCCAAGGATGTTAATAGCCTAATAATATACTTTGCAGGCAATTTAAAAATTTAAATACCATATTCCAGCTTTATCAATTAGAGAAAATAAAGATGGATATTTTACCTATATTTTAATGAATAAAACTTTCAGGGGGCTTATTGTCTAAGGAGTAGGAAAATGATCATTTAAAGGAAAATTTTTAAGCAATGCAAAAAGTTTGAGGAAGGTGTGGTAGTAAAAAGAATAACCTAGTTTTAAATTTAATACTATTTGCTAAAATAATACTAAATGAAATATAATCCTAACAATTTAACAAAAACATACAGCTTTCCTGAGTAACGATACTATATTTGGGAAACTAATGTTAAAGTCCAGGATAACATTTATCATTAGCTATACAGGCCATTGGTAGAGAGAACCATTAACTGTTGTTAAGTTTAATAAAAGTGATTTTAAAAATCAGGAGTTGCAATCATTTGTTAAAATTATACTTGAGTACATTTTCATTGGTCTCCACGGTACAATTTATTTTAGAATACGTATTGAGCCAAAACCAGTTCCTTAAAGAAATGTCTAAAATAGAGAAGTTGGCTGTACCACTCACAACTTACTACTAATCTGATGGAATAAAATGAAAGGACAGAAATCTGTTTTGCCACGTTTCCTGTCTCATATTGTGATTAACCTAGTTAAGAAAATCATTACCATTCTCTGAGACACCGGCATCAGGATTTTGTACTACTCTGAATAACAGATTTCTGTTATCCTTTAAGGACCTCATCCTAGGTCCAAAGAATCAGATTGGTCCCGCCTCATCAGTTGCTGGGTATCTCCAATATCCTCACCAAATATTTTCTTGGCTCTTTATGAGGAAGTACTCCAGCATTTAACTGTTCCAACTGAAATCCTGACTCTGCTACCTACTAGTGTTATGAGGAAATCATTTAACATCTCTGACCCTCAATTTCTTTATCTGTAATGCATGGTTAATTATACTGCTTACAGGGTTATTCTGAGGATTAAATAAGATAAGCCCCTCAACATAGTGTTTAGGAGGTCCTATGAGTTCAATAAATGTTAAGTTCTTTTTGCTATTATTATTTCTGTGGCCATGTATTGCATTTTTATCATTCCTATTACCGGAGGCAGGGTTCATAAGATAGTTTTGAAGTTTCTAATATTTGTGGTGCATTCACTTAGCAACTGATGCAAATCATTTACTTCCCTGACATCCAGTCTGCCATCAAGTGTCTATAAAAACTTTAGTATTTGGTTTTCTGAATGGAGCACTAAAAAGAGAGGCAAATTACCAGGAAGATGATGGGAGCTTAAACGTCAAGGCTCCACATTCGCACAGGTCCTTCCAAAGTACTGTACCTAATTTCTATTCAGAATTTGCATTTCCTTTTTAAAAGAAGAGACTCCAAATTATATAATCCCAGGTTCCACAAAATCTGGACTCATCCCTAAACCTTGCCTGTGGATTTTAAAACCTGGAATAGAGGTACTCTTGAGATTCTCTGATAGCACAAAAAACATCATGAAAAATATGCCAATTTTAGAAAACAGATGTTATACTATTAATAAAAAGATTTCTACTGTTCTGAGAAGTAGGGGGAGGAGAACAGTAATAAGCTCCAACATGACTTGCCACTGGCATATAATACACCTTCAGATTCATTATCCATTTAAAGACTTAAGGATAGTAACATTTTCTTAATTTAAATAGTGATGCTAACTGGGGTCTTATTTTCCTGTCCACAGCAGCTTTTACAAGCCCACCGTGTGCCAGACATTCTTCCAGACCCTGGGGACAGAAACATATAAAACAATCAAACATCCCTAGCCTCATGGAGTGACACACACACAGCAGGTTTCTGTCCATCAGCAACCAAGTATCACTCAACTTGAACTTCAGATGTGACTGCTCATAAAAAGGCATGTGCCACTCCAATGGGCAGTGGCACAGGTTTTCCTGTTGGACCACTGTTTTAGCATCTCTGCAGGGTGACAGTCTATGTTCTGGGCACCCAAACATGCTTCTCTCTGGGGAGCAGTCTCAGTTGCCCTGGAGAGGGCACATCTTTTTTTTTTTTTTTTTAATCAACCTTCAAGCAGTTGTGCATTTTCGATGGCTTTTTGGACTTTCTCAAGATTGCCTATTTTTAGCTCCTGCTGATGTGGCATTAAGAACTGTCCTCAATGTGGCATTTGCCTGGTGTGATAATTTAAGTGTACCCAAAGAAAAAAGAAAAGTTAAAAATAACTTTTAAAAAGTGGAATCCACCTCCAAATCCACAAAATGAGGCAAAATTCAAATATGGTATGTTTCTGAACTCAGTTCTTAAAAATCTTTAAAGTCATGAGAGCCATTTTCCTGTGACTGTTAAAAAAACAAAAAAACGAATACAAGGGAGACTCAAGAGCCACTGACAAACACAGATAACTGCTGCCACTCACTGTGGAGCCTACAAAATGGAGTTGCCCATGTAAGAAGCAGCTCAATCACAAATCAGCCAATATGGAGGCGCTACTTAGTTACTTTTGCTTTGGGCTCATGTTTGAAAACACCGTCTCTCTATTCATGGCATATATATGTCCTTCATACAGTTTCCAACTGGCACCATGTTAGGTTTCCTGGTATTTCTGTTTTGGCTGCTCTAGAGCACGATTCTGCATTTCTTTGAAGTGTCTCTTACTCATGCCTTTTGGAGTGTATTTCTTTATTTTAAAGCACACAATCCCAAATTATCCTTAAACTGAAAATTCACTCAGCCATTGTCAAGAGATGTGGAATACCAGAGAAATAGAAACTTAATTTTTTTGGTGTAGGTTATAGCCAGGTCTTTAGAACAGCCAAGGTATTAAATCACAAGCTTTCATTTTTTTAGCCTGTAACACAAATAACTTTTAATTATTTTAGCTCCAAGGAAAATGTAAATGATTCAGAATCTCTTTTTTCTCTAAGGTTTTGAATATTACCTTCTTCTTCATTTTAGACACCTTCTACCTCCAGAGTC